CAATCACCTGCGGATGCAATGTTGGCAAGCCGCGCGGATGCTGCGTTGGCAAGCCGTGCGGGTGCAGCGTTGGTAGGCCGCCATCTGCAGCGTTGGCAAGTCGCACTCAAGCTGCGTTGGCAGGCCGCAGACTTGCTACGTTGGCAGGTCGACAACTCTGTCACGCTGGCAGTCGACCTGCCTGAGCACTAGCAAACCTTGCATGTGATGTAGTCAATCTTTGCCATTGCTTGTTCTCATTCTGAACTCTGTATTCTCAACTTTTCCTTAGTGAAATTCTTGTTGCTTTGCCCTGTGAAAACACAAGTCCTAGAGAACACAGACACAGCTACGATCACTCCTACAACTCGTGCCTACGCTGCGGTCTAGCTCCCACCATTGTAGAGTTAATCTCCTCATGGTGCGGTGAGCGTGGACGGCCCCGCAAGAATACCTTCAGATAGGAGCCAACTTTTGCACCTACTCAGTCGTTCGTAGACCGGCAGCCTTTTAAGTCACCATGGTCGACCCCGTAGTTGACGCGGGTGTAGCGGATACCTTGGAGACACGACTAGCTAATGCGAGGAGACGCCACGAGGCTGGCGAGTACGGGACGATCCCCTTGGAGATCGTCGAGTTGGGCATCCGGGCGCAGTGGGCGACGGAGCACCCTTCCTGTCCTGCATCTCCTCGACCAGCACGCAACGAAGGTGGCGTCGACGAGGAGGTCGACGGCGGTGCACGAGTCAGTGGCAACGCGCGCACGAGGCACATAGGAGTGCTCAGGTCTGTTGACTGTGGTGTTGGCGGGAGTCACGCATGAGTGCAGCGGTCGATGGCACCTCAACGAAGCAGTGGAAGTCCCTCGTCAACGACGCATGTGACAGCGGGCGGGATCGCGCCGGCGTATGGCTACTTCAAGTTTTCGCCGGACAAGATCACCGTCGCACCTCTGCAAGGTCGACGGGACCTCATCACTTGGAGGGAGTCGATAGAAACACAGCTGGAGGTCGCCGGGCTAAAGGGCTTTCGCCGACGGCACTGTGCCAATTCCGCACGAGGACGATGTCGAGCTGCGTGGGGAGTTTCGTGCTGCTCACTTGCTCACTTTCATGGTCATCTCGAGGTGCTGCTCGCCGGTGGTGCAGCTTGCGCTCAGGAGCTGTCGAGAGCGTCTGGATGCTGGTCACCAAGCATGGCACTTCATCCTGTCGACGTACCTGGCGAAGGACGACCTGTACATCGGACAGCTAGAGGAGAAGATGACACATCTTCGGATGGGTGAGCAGGAGTCGGCGACGGACTACTGCAACCGTGCTCGACGGATACTGGCCGAAATGCGGATGGCGGGCGCCGAATACTCTACGGCGTCCTACATCACCCACGTTGTCAAGGGCCTGCCGCGTAGCTACAACCTCATGAAGAGGATGATGATGGTGCCCGGCACGCGGGAGTCACTCGACGAGGACTCAGTCACCAGCTACATCCTTCAAGATGAGGCTATGCAAGAGGCAGAGCAGCCCACGGAGCTCCTTCCGCAGGCGAGTTACGCTACACCGACGAAGCAGAATCGTCCGCAGGGGCAGCGAGGAAAGTCTGGGGGAGGTGGTAGCGGAGGTGGGAGGTCGGCGAAGGACGCAGACCAGGCGAAATCAACTCGTGACAGTGGTCGCGACAAGGGTGGTCGGCGGCGTGAGTGCTGGGTCTGCGGAAGCGCTGACCACCTCTCCTATAACTGCCCTGACCGAGAAGACACTGACGACGATGACCACAAGGGAGGCCGTGGAAGGTCGGCCAACGGTCGTCAAAGTCGGGACGAGAAGCCGCGCAAGGAGAAGCAGACGTCAAAGAAGACGTCGTCGACGAAGGAGGTCGACTCCTCCAGCGGCAAGGGGCAAGGTGATGGAAAGGCTTCCTGCTCAATGGTCAGCATGGTGAAGCAGACTGTTTCACTTGCGCCAGAGGCCGGCGAAGACTTCAAAGCGGTCGCAGCAGCCGTGCAGGCGAATCCAATGGTGGTTCTGCTCGACAGCGGTTGCTCACACCACCTCATGGGGACGAAGGAGGCCTTCGTCGACATGGGGCCGAGCGGCAATGTGAAGCATGTGCGTGGCTTCAACGGGGCTTTGCAGACCGTTGAGGGCCGAGGCACCGTCGCTCTGCAAGGGGAGGCCGGGAAGCAGGTCCTCATCCCCGACGTGCTCTACGTCCCGGGCGTGCAGGCGAACCTGCTGTCAGCTGGTCAGCTGAAGGAGAATGGTGTGCAGCTGCAGGACGACGGTGACGAGACGATGCTCGTCAACGCGACTAGGGAGGTGCTCGGTCGAGCACGCTATAGCGGCCGCGTCCTCTGCACCAACCTTCAACCCTTCTCGACAAAGCTGTCATCGAAGTCGACTGAGGTGGTGGCTCTGCGAACGATTGCTTCGGCAACGAAGTCGACGCCGCCCAGGTGGCACGCGAGGCTTGCGCACGTTGGTGTTGACATCATGAAGAGCTCGGCGAAGCACAATGTTGCCACTGGCCTGGACATCACGCCTTCCACAGGGACCGATAAGGGAAGAGACTGATTTCAAGCCTCTGAGGGCCTATCCGTGTGATCATGGAACATGCAAGTTTCCATGACATTTCAGGGGGTACTTTGTTTGGTTTGTACTTGCATATGGAGAATCACTTCGTACAACAAATATCTTAGTTAAGAATCCCCTGTGGGAAGGACAACCCAATCCAATTATCATGTTACGCCTAAGAGGAAACAATCTAATATCATGCCAACCCAGTCTGGTTGGATACACGTGAGGTTGAACCGCTTGACGCTCATCTTGCCTTGTAGCGCCAGCGCCAACACATCCATCTCCTCCACATTCCACAGCTCCCTCACCACCGTCTGGCATGGTATGGATGGGGTGATCGCAACAGCAAGAGAGGCATGTGGGGATATAAGATAGTGTAACATAAATTCTTGTGAGTCCCTTTGCATCTCCTCCACGTTCCACAACTCCCTCACCACTGTCTGGATGCCATGGGGTGACCACAACAGCAAGAGAGCTTTGAAACAATATCAGAGATGATGAGTTGCACAAGGGCTTGTTACTCCCTTCTCTTGTGTGGTGTTGTGGAAGAAAGGATGGCAATGCAGCAGCATGTGGCAAGCTGATGTGCTCGATTGCGAGGGGAACATGAGCATACGAGGACCGGAGAGAATGCTTTGGGTGAAGGCTGGAGTGACAGGATGCCGACGAGATAAAGGGGTTGGGATGGGAGAGGAGAAAGAAGAAACAGTGGGAAAAGGGAGCAGCGAGAAAAAGAAGCACGTAAAAGGAAATGACAGGGCGAGGGATGGGAGGGAATGAGGAAGAGGCAGAGCGCAGGCAGAGTTGAGGGTAGTGGAAAGAGCAGGCGCGGAAGGGATGGAAGCGTGCCTGTTTGCGGCAGAGCTTCTGGTTGAGCTCGCTGACTATGGAGCGGAAGATGGGCATCGCTGACTCGGCATTGTGTTAGCTTCTGGTAGTGAGTGGGAGATGGGAATTCATGAAAAGGGAGAATTGAGTAGCGAGAAGTGAGAAGTGAAGAGCAAGAAGTGAGGAGAAGTGAGAGTAATAGTTGTAAGAGCGGTTTGTAGGTACTGTGGATGACAAGACCACGATGATGAAAAGGCATTGCAAGATGGAACGAATTGAACATGGTGCCATCGTTGCTGCTTCCCTCCTGGTGTAACACTGTAACAGTCGAAGCGGGATCCCTTGAGAGGGATACGTTGATCCAGCAAACATACATACCCCGTCAGGCCAAGTAGGCGGTGCAAGGATCCTGGCCAGTGACACGTGCAGCATGACCCGGTTGTACTGGGGGAGGGGCGAGTGGGGAAGGGGGGAGCCGGTGGGAGAAGGGCAAGGTGAACACGGTCAATGAGAAGAGGAGTGATGTGTGCAGCATGACCCGGTTGTACTGGGGGAGGGGGGAACGAGCAGGTGGGTGAGGGCAAGGCGAGCACGGTTGTAAGGGTAGTGAACATGGAAAACAAAATCTGGATGTGAGTGTGCCATGATGTGAAAACGGGAAGATGGAAAAGGGGGGTTGAGATTGCGAGTGACGGATTTGAGGGTTGTGGGCCATGGGGACGGGGGGAAGGAGAAAGGATGTGAGGTAGAATAGTGTTGCCACACAGCAAGCATACACTGAGGCGGCTGCAGCGGGTTTGTCATGCAAAGCAGAGTCCACGCGGTCAGCCCATCCAGCAGCTCGCCTCTGCGTTCTGAGTGGTCTTGAAACACACGCACATAGAGCAGTAGTAGCAGCAGGGCGGCAGCCAGGCACCCACCACCAGATGCTGCTCTGGTTTGGAGCGCGTGGCAGAGGAGAGCCTCTCTCCTTCAGCTCGTCCGTCCCACATGATTGTCTTGTCTGAGAGCAGCAGCCGCAAGGAGAAACCCTATCGAGGATTCACGAGAGCACCCACCAGTCTTCATGCAGGCAGGCACCCACCAGTTGCTGCTTTGGAGGGCCTCCTTGAGATCGGCCCTCGCATATGATTCTGGTGGTAAAAATGGAAACGCTACTCTATTGAGCGTTCATAAGGGCACCCACCAGTCCTTCATCATGCAGGCGGGCACCCACCAGCTGCTGCTTGGGAGCGCGGGGCAGAGCCTCCTTGAGCTCGTCCCTCAGCTCTGCTGGATCCGTGCCCTCCACCACCTGGTGCGGGGAGAGGTGGAATGTTGTCCTGCATCCAAGTGGCTTCTGAATCGACTCAAAAGTCACCTCCGCTGGATCCGTGCCCTCCACCACCTGGTGCGGAGAGGTGAACAACAATTGCATGTGCGATGCTATGCGAGCATGGTGCATCATGCATGCCTTGCATCTCCCATGCACCACCCGTGAACCATTCATGCACTGCCCATGCCAGCAGTGGCAGTGCGAATGGAACGTTCCAGTGCCATGGGCACGAGTGCATGCGTGTAGCTGTGAGGGCGACACCATGTGCATGCAAACACTCCATGCAAACACCACTGATGCTTCACCTGCCAGCAAGCCAGCAGCACGCCAGTGGCGGTGAGAATGACCCGATCCAGAGAGACACGCAGCGGGCACAACCGCTTGCTCACGCCCTTCACTGCCCGCACCTCGTCCACTAGCTGGCAGGGTGGGGGGAAAGGGCACGATGTGTGTGGATGCGTGGGGAGCACAGGGGAGAAGGCGTGGGGTTGACGCTTGGAAAGGCATACACAGGCGCTTGCTCACGCCCTTCACTGCCCGCACCTCGCACCTCGCACCTCGTCCACCAGCTCGCAGGAGTGCAGGAGAGGGGGGGAGGGAAGGAGAGGGGTAGCGCAGGTGGGGATGCTGAAACTGTGAAAGAACGAGTCATGGGGCAAATGAGTGCGCAACTTGATTCGACTGGCTGACCAGCTGTGCGCTGTGTGCGGAAGGAACCAGCTGGCTTACCTGTTCCAGCTCAGCACAACAGACAGCAGAAAAAATTACCTGTTTGAGCCTGCGTAAGAACCCTGTTGCACCGCCATAGGTACGGCCGTACCTGTTTGGCGGTGGCAGGTAGGGGCGAGAGACGTGAGAAGCTAGGAAGATGCTCATGTGGTACACGCCAGGGTCCTGCAGCCACACACACGTCAGGGTGGGACAGGTGGGGAGAGGGGCAGGGGAGGCAGTGAAAGGAAAATGAACCATTAGATGGTGCAAGTTGAGTGGTGCAAGTTGAGTGGTGCAAGTTGAGTGGTGCAAGTTGAGTGGTGCAAGTTGAGTGGTGCAAGTTGAGTGGTGCAAGTTGAGTGGTGCAAGTTGAGTGGTGCAAGTTGAGTGGTGCAAGTTGAGTGGTGCAAGTTGAGTGGTGCAAGTTGAGTGGTGCAAGTGAGGCGTGGAGATTTCTCATGACGAAAACGAGCCTTCAGAGGTGTGGGTTTGGCAGCCACATGCGTGAAGGGAGGGGTGGGGATGGCCCGGGAGGGGCGGGCGAGGCATCCAGAGAAGGCAAAGTGAGGGCCCGCCCTTTGAGGGGTGGGGATGGAGGAAGTTGAGAAGCCACACATGTGGTGGAGAGCGGTGCCGTGCTCTTGAGGCGCCTCAAAGGAGAGCGGTGCCGTGCAGCCAGCCACTGCCCCAAGATTCCTTGCCCCACAATTCCCCCCACTCCTTTCCTCATACCTCCCATTCCCCTCACATCATCGCGCCTCACCCACCTCCTCAGAAGTGGTGCAAAACGTTGCCCTTCACTGTCTCCTTGACATCGCCTTGACTCCCCCCACCTCCCACTCCCCACCCTCACATTCACCACACCTCACCTCCTCTCATCTCATTCCCCCCTTCACATCGCCACACCTCACCTCCTCCCATTCCCACCCTCACATCCCCACATCGACACACCTCACCTCCTCCCATTCCCACCCTCACATCCCCACATCGACACACCTCACCTCCTCCCATTCCCACCCTCACATCGCTGCGCCTCACCTCCTCGGAAGTGGTGCGGAATGTTATCCTTCACCCTCTCTCTGACTCTCTACCCCACTCATCCGCACCTCCTCCAACCCCCCCATCACATCGCCACGCCCCTGCTGCCGTGCTGCTGCGGTTGCAGAGCTGCCTCGACTGCTGCGCTGCTGCGCTGCTGCTGCTTCTTCCTACGCTTCTGCGCCTAGTTTTGCTGCTGGGGCTGCTGTTCAGGCTGCTGCTGCGAGAGCTGCCGCCCCTGATCGTGGTTCAAGGAGAGAGTGCCATCAGCGCCACCACCGCATGTGCTATCAATGCCCTCTACTACGCCAGCAACCGGCGCGGTGCTATTTTGGGGAGGCAAAAACGCTGTACCCGGTCTTGAGGTTCGTCTCGCTCATCGTTTCCACAAACGCGCGACCCGACGGGTCGCGAGACGCCAAAAGCACGATGTCGCACGGGACTGTCGTGTCCCCCCGAACATGCACCACTTCCCCCACGCGAATGCTCTGCCACGTGGCAGAGCACCACTGGCCCCCGCGGCCATTCTCGCGCGCCCATTCTCCCGCGCGTCGGCGCGGTGGCGTCGCCAGTCCTCGAAGGCGTCTTTAATCGCCGTTACCGTCAGCACGGAGAGCAGCGGAATGACGGAGATGTAACGGCCGAAGATCGCGAGCTGAGGGATCTGGTTGATTAAGATTAGCACGAGGAAGGAAATAGGTTGCGAGGGAGGAAGGTTAGCAGCGTGTATTTACTCGTCCGGATGCGGTTATTAGCCAATCGGCTCCTATGTATCCTCCACCTCGCTAGCAGGCCCTCTCCGCCGTCCGATGCTTCTAGCTCGGCCTCTCGGATCGTACGGTCGGGATCGTCCACGTGAACGATGCGCTGTTGCGGCTTCTCGTGCGACGTCGCCTGATCTGGAAGGGTTGCCGGCGACGTTTCGGTCAAAAGCGACGCGCTCTCTGACGATCGCAGCGCGCCTGGGGCGGCCGATTTCATTTTGGCTGTGCTGTGACGGCGCCTTGAGAGCTGAAATACTCGCCTCGTTCTACCCATGATCAACGGCGCATCTGAACGGACGGTATGGATTTGCCACGTACTCAAGGTGGCGGTGTGGCGTTGCAATGGCCTCCAACGTCACGAGGCGCGCAACATTTCGTGCTACTCTACACGTACGAAGACGGATTGGCCCGAAGGTAAGAACAAGCTTCTTGTGCTTTTCTCTGCAAAAGAAACCGCTCGCCAAGCGCGTGGTGATTAGAAACCAGTTCATGTAAGGACTTTGGCGGCGACATTCCCAAGGTGTCTTCCATACAAGTGGAGAACCGTGCTTCTGTATGAAGGCTACGCTGCAGGTTCATTATTTGCGGTGGAGAAACGTTCTGTGCTTGCGGTTTGTTGGATCCACCGCTTTAAACCGTGACCCACCAGTCTGAACCGTGATTCATGGGCTTTGTGGGACATGCCCTCAGCGCCACAGTACAGTAGCATAGTATGCCAGAAATGAGAGGGGCACCCAGCCAGACCCTGAGCAGGCCAAAATGTATCGGTGCCATCCATTTGCACATCGACGGTTCCGGTGGCTCTCCATGGGTGAATGGGCTGGGAAGTTCGTGACGTGACGTCACCAAACTGAAGGGGAAAAATGGGTGCGGTGCGGTCTGTAACACCCATTTTTTCCCGCGCGCCAGTTCCTCAAATACTACCGTTGATCCGAGATTTGAGATACAATTGATGCCCAACCAGTGCACGCGGATTTGCCTTGCGCCGGATGGAAACGCTGCGCCCGAGGTTGTTTCCCCAGCCTGTTGCTCCCACGTTATAAGCGCGTCGCGTGGTTATCAACCAATAGTAACGAACAGACCGAGGTCAAGCAGAAGAGACTGAAGTCAAATAAGGTAACAGATCTTGTTTATTAGCACCTGCGAATCCTTTTTAGCTAGCTGCGAATTGACGAAGCTTATGCGAAATGCTCGTTACAGCTTATACGCCCCCTTCACAAGGCAACCGGGAGGGGCTCAAACAGGCATCAATTGTACCGTAGACGCAGAGAGTTCATTGCGAGGTGTTGGATTGGATCCAGCCAGCCTATGTCACAGCGACTCTCTCGCAGAGCAGCGACTTTCATCCATCCGAACTCCTCACACCTGAAGCTTAGGATGTTCTGCTGCTGAACCCTAGACTCTCGCCGCGACGTTTTTAGTCTTCGACCGCTTACATTAGTCCCATTTTATCAACTAGTCGGAATGGCTGCTGCATCACCGATCGGGCAGCTGTCAGACGATCTTCTCTCCGTTATCCTCCATTTCGTTGGTCCATCCGACGGCCAGTTACAGCACGCGCTTGTGTGCAAGAAATGGCATCGCATCGCCCGTAGCGTGCACGAGCACATCCATCTTCGCAAAGAGCGTCACGTAAGTCCTCGCGAGCTGCTCGCTCACCTCTCGTCATTCCCAGGGCTACGAAAGCTCGTCCTCGCCAACGGCAGCATCACGTCCGTCCCTGACTCCCTCCTTTCGGGGATTGCCGACACGTGTCCAGATCTGACGGGCCTCCATGTCGATAAAATGGATCGACGCTACAGACGCGGGGGGTTCACAGAGAACGGGCTTTCGTATTTCTTTGAGAAATGCACACGGCTGGAGGGACTTCGTCTTGATTGTCAGTCGAATCTGACCGCCATTCCCTCTTCCATCGGCGGCCTTGCGTCACTCAAGAGCCTGCACATCACTGACAGGGGGAGAATCGCTCTCCTTCCAGAAGCTTTCACCTCGTTACAGGCTCTCACGCATCTCGTGATTGAAATGCACGGCCTGGATGAACTGCCGCAGGACTTCGGCAATCTGAGGCTGCTCAAATCGCTCAATCTGATCGGCTGCCAGTGTCTCGTTTCCATTCCCGATTCTTTGGGGCAGCTTACCAACCTGACGCAACTTTCCATCAGTGACTCCACAAGGCTTCAGCTGCCCGAGTCCATCTCCAACCTTACATTGCTGCTGACAGTTGAAATTTCCAACTGCCAAGACCTTTTACCGCTGCCTGAGAGGTTCGGGAATCTGCCAGAGCTTGAAACCCTACGTCTGGAAAATGTGTGGGGGATCTCAAATCTGCCCGCGAGTCTCGGGCAGCTGGCTTCTCTAACGGACCTTATCCTCGACCGCCTAGCACTCCACCATCTGCCTGACGGCGTCGCTCTCCTCCCACGCCTACGCACGCTCAAGCTAGACGTTGGCATGGCCGTACAGCTGCATCCCTCCGTATACCTTGCCACCACACTCAAAGAGCTCACAATCACAAAGTCTGAAACTTTACATTCTCTGCCCGAAGAATTCGGGCAGCTTACTGCCCTCGAGGCCCTGCGCCTATTTGAGCTTTCGCGGCTCAGCAGCCTGCCCGCGTCGCTTGGCAACCTGACAAGCCTCAAGGAGCTGAAAATATCCTTCTGCAGGCTACTGACAGAGCTTCCAGACTCGTTGACTCTGCTTTCTTCCCTTGAGCTGCTGGAAATCAGTTGCTGCCGCTACCTGACAGTGCTACCACAGGGCATGGGGGATGGTCTGTGTAGCCTGCGCAGACTGATTCTGCTCGAACCCAGGGCTCTCACCCACCTCCCTCCATCCTTCTCCAGCCTCTCCTCCCTCGAAACCCTACAAATCTGTGGTGCACCCAGCTTACGAGGCGCGCTACCAAGCGAGTTCTCCCACAGGACAAGCCTCAAGGACCTCTCTCTCTCCTCCCTGCCACACCTGCCCGCCCTGCCCGCCTCCCTCCCTGCCATCACCTGCACTCTCACCAGCCTCGTGGTCATCAATTGCACGCGAATCGAGGCGCTGCCAGAGGATATCGGATGGCTGGGATCGCTTGAATCACTCCATCTCAGCGAACTGCCCAATCTGAAGTCGCTCCCTCAGTCACTGTTTCAGCTGCAGCGGTTGAAGTCTCTAACATTGTTTGGCTGCAGCGCGTTGGAGTCGCTGTTTGAGGATGAGGACATGGGAAATGCACTCACGGGTGCTGCACACACGGGGGATGCACACACGGGGGATGCACACACGGAGGATGCACACACGGAGTATGCACGCACGGAGGATGCACACACGGAGGATGCACACACGGAGGATGCACACACGGAGGATGCACACACGGAGGATGCACACACGGGAGCTGCCGGGCATGACCTTGCGGGGAGAATCACTCGCCTCGAGGTACCCGGTCACACGGGTAGCAGCAGTGCTGCTGGCAGCTGTGAGGGATCCGAGGAGGGTGACACGGGTGTGTGGCTTCCATCCCTCGAGGTCCTTCGGCTTGTGAATCTTCCCCTGCAGCAGCTCGGTCCATCCCTGGGCTCCTTTTCATCGCTAACCAGGCTGGAAATCAGCGGTTTGCATCGGCTTCGCTCGCTCCCAGAGTCCATCTCTCGCCTCTCTCGCTTGCAGTCACTCACGATCAGTTCTGCCGACAGCCTGCTTGCCCTGCCAGAGACAATAGGGAAACTCTCAGCACTCACATCCCTCTACCTTACCGATGCCATGAGCTTGACTGCTCTGCCCGAGTCATTCGGGCAGCTGAAGAAGCTTCAGTCTTTTTCTATTGACAGCAGCCCGGGCTTAACCAGGCTTCCCGAGTCCTTCCCTGATCTCTGCAGACTGGAGTCGTGTTATTTGTGCGAGGTCGGAATCTCGTGCCTTCCAGATGATTTCTGGAAGCTCTCTGCTTTGAAAGAAATCTCTCTGGTGTCACTGCCCAAATTCCACAGCCTGGCCGAAAGTTTTTCGCAACTGCCTGGACTGGAGGACTTGGCCCTGCGTGAGTGCAAGCGGCTGGCTTTGTTACCCGCGGGCCTGCAGCAGATGGGGAGGCTGCAGGCATGCGTTGTCAGTAGATGCCCGCTGCTGTCAAGACAGAGGGTGGTGATCCATGGTACATCGAAGCTGGACGAGGGAGAGCGTGCAGTGGGTGGCTCGGAGGACGAAGATGAAGGGGAAGTTTGGATGGGGGAGGATTAGGGGAGAGTGAATGGAGGAAGGAAAAGGGGTGAATGGGAGGATGGAGAGGAGAGCGAAGGGGATGGGAGTGAAGGAGAGGGGAGTGAAGGGGAGGGGAGTGAATGAAAGGGGAGTGAAGGGTAGGGGAGTGAAGGGTAGGGGAGTGAAGGGTAGGGGAGTGAAGGGTAGGAGAGTGAACGGTAAGGGAGTGAAGTGTAGGGGAGTGTGGAATGGTGAAGGCCGTGGAATGAGATGGAGATGTGGAGGACGAGGAAGGCTAAGGTTGCACTGCTGTCATGCTAAGGTTGCACTGCTGTCATGCTAAGGTTGCACTGCGGTCATGCTAAGGTTGCACTGCTGTCATGCTAAGGTTGCACTGCTGTCATGCTAAGGTTTCACTGCAGCCTGCCTAGGTCTCTTCACAGCTCTACCTTCCCCCCAATCTCCTCCTCCTCACTGTCTTCCGCTCTACCCTCTCCTGCAACGACATGTCAGCAGCCAACTTCGCCGACTTCGTTACCAACGCACCAGGTGGTGCTGAGCTGGCATTTCTTGATGCCACGCTGTCAGGCGCCCTTGATGAGCTGGCATCCGACCGGGGCTTCAGAGCAAAACCCTGGCAGGCAGGTTCTGTAAGATCTTCACGGACAGCCGTTCAAAAGAATTCCGCTGCTGGGGCTTTGCAAGCTAGATGTGCCTTTAAAGGGGGCAAGCCAGAGGGTGGAGACGGTACAGCGAACCTGGACGAGGGAGAGCGTGCAGTGGGTGGCTCGGAGGAGGAAGATGAATGGGAAGTGCGGATGGGGGAGGAGGATGAGGGGAGCGAAGGGGAGGAATGAGAGGGGGGCGATGGTGAGGGGGTCATGAAGGGGAAGTGGGAGAGGAATGAAGGCAATGGGAGTGAGGGGTAGGGAGTGGGGAAATGGGGGGAGGAGGTGGAGTGAGATGGAGACGAGGAGGACGAAGAAGGTAAGGATGGGGGAGGTGAGAGGGGGATGGGGAGGATATAGAATCGAAGGATTTGGAGAATAGATCGGAAGTAAGCGAGGTGGCTATCTTTTAGTGTCATTACAACCATGTGACTAATGAAATGGCGCTGCTGCTCTGTTGGTGGAGCACGCCCTGCATTTAAGCTTTAGATCATGGTTAGTTTGGGTTGAAAATACTACCTAGAAACATGTATTTTGTTTCATGTGAAGAAATTAGAGCTTTGGTCAAGTTCGGAAAATCAACTACCGTACTTCAATTAGTCATGAAGGGCAAGTTGTCCCTATCACAGTAACTTGTATAGATGGGTATCTTGCTTGCTGCTTGCCGCTCCATGGCATCTTCTACATGCCTGAAAATACTTTCATCGTGGCAGCAACCCTACATACAGACACCGCTGCGCAGCCTCCCAAGCAGTCACACACTGCTGCGCCCACCACTGCACCTCACGTACAGTCACACTGCTGCGCCCACCGCTGCACCCCCGCATACACTCACACACCGCTGCGCATCCTCCCGAGAACATCAGCATGCAGGGGGCTCTCAGGCGCACACCTCTCAGGCGCACACCTCTCAGGCGCACACCTCTCAGGCGCACACCTCTCAGGCACACACCTAGAAAGCACACACCTATCAGGCACACACCTATCAGGCACACACCTATCAGGCACACACCTATCAGGCACACACCTATCAGGCACACACCTATCAGGCACACACCTATCAGGCACACACCTATCAGGCACACACCTATCAGGCACACACCTATCAGGCACACACCTATCAGGCACACACCTATCAGGCACACACCTATCAGGCACACACCTATCAGGCAGAAAGACAGCAGTGGGATGCAGCGAGTACAAGGCAGCCGAGGGGGAGAAGCCTGACTGGGAGAGAGCACGTCTCCCAAAGACACCTCACTACCACACTCTACCGTATTATTGTACACTGTCACACCCTCAACCTACGCACACGCTGCTGCGCAGCCTCCCAAGCGCATCAGCATGCAGGGGGCTCTCAGGCGCACACTTGTCAGATAGGAAGGCAACGGTTGGGTGGAGAGAGTAGAAGGCAGCCGAGGCAGAGAAGCCAGACTGGAAGGCCACGTCTCAATGTCACCTCGCTCCTCCTCTTACTACTACTGCTGCTGCTGCTGCTGGCCTTGCTGTATTCATCACAGCACCAGAAACAGTCGGACCACCGCACTGTCACCTCGCTACACCCCTGCACACACTCACACACCGCTGCGCAGCCTCCCAAGAGTATCAGCATGCAGGGGGGTCTCGGGCGAGCACCTGTCAGGCAGGAAGGCAGCGGTGGGGTGGAGCGAGTAGAAGGTAGCCGAGGCAGAGAAGCCAGACTTTGAGAGCACGTGGACGTTGCACCCCGCCAGCACCAGCCAGTCCGCCACTATGTCCAGAAATGCCTCCCTGCTGCCTGCCTCGCCATCTCCTGCTGATGATGTGACTGCTGCCCCTGCTGCTGCTGCCCCTGCTGCTGTTGCTCCTGCTGCTGCTCCTGCTGTTGCTGCTCCTGCTGCTGCTGCTCCTGATGCTGCTACCCCTGCTCCTGCTCCTCCTGCTGCTCCTGTTGCTGTTCCTGCTCCTGCTCTTGCTCTTGCTCCTTCTGCTTCTGATACTCCTGCTGCTCCTCCTGCTGCTCCTCCTGCTTCTCCTGCTCCTGCTCCTGCTCCTGCTCCTGCTCCTGCTCCTGCTCCTGCTCCTGCTCCTGCTCCTGCTCCTGCTCCTGCTCCTGCTCCTGCTCCTGCTCCTGCTCCTGCTCCTGCTCCTGCTCCTGCTCCTGCAACTGCTCCTGCTCCTGTTGCTGCTGCTGCTGCTACTGCTACTGTTGCCACTGTTGTTGCTGCTGCCACTGTTGCGTCATTTTCAGTGAGCTTCCTTCCAGCTGTCACTGATGCACTCCCTACTGAGTGCCTGTTTCCAATCAACGGATCAGATTTTTCCCCGCGGTTGCTGTGTGGGGGCGACGCATGGACGGATTCAAGCGGCGAGCCTGGAGGCAACTCTTCGAGCTTCCTGACTGTAACAGTATCGAGTTGGCTTGTATGAAGGAGGTTGGAGTGCCGCGGTATGATGCTGGATGTTACCACCTGGAAGGGAGAAAAAGAGAGAGGGAGAGAGTACCGCTCGAAGAGGAGGAGGAGAGGAGGGGGGAAGGAGTGGAAGGGGAAGGCAAATGCTTGTTGCAAGCCAAAACACTTGAATGATTGCAGAGGCATAAGAAGAGTGGGGGTGGAGTGGAGTAGCTGGCAGCTGAATACAGGGGATTCATATACGAGAGGCTGACAGTAAGTTACCCACCTTGTAAGGGTATTTCCCCTTGAGCGCCAGTTTAAGCCGGGCGGAGTTGGTGACGAGCAGCCATCGCACGGAGAGGGACGGCGGCAGCCAGAAGCGCTCCACTGCCTATCGGGTGGGACGGGCGTGACAGGCGTGACGGGCGTGACGGGTGGGACGGGTGGGACGGGTGGGACGGGTGGAATGGTGGGATGGTGAGAGAGGGAGGGATGGGGAGAGAGGAGGGATGGTGGGAGAGGGAGGGATGGGGCGTGAGGGAGGTAGAGGGAGAGATGGGGTGGAATGGAGGAATGCGCGGAGCTATTGAGGCGACCTAAAATTAGTCCCACAGTCATTGCGTGGAGAGGGACGGCGGCAACCACAAGCAAAGCACTGCCTGACGGGCCTGCCGAGGAGCACGGGTGCAGGAAGCACGGGTGCAGGGAGAAAGGGTGCAGGGAGAAAGGGTGCAGGGAGAAAGGGTGCAGGGAGAAAGGGTGCAGGGAGAAAGGGTGCAGGGAGAAAGGGTGCAGGGAGAAAGGGTGCAGGGAGAAAGGTTGCAGGGAGAAAGGGACATAGATGAGGGGTGACAGACACGAGTGCTGATGGGACGTCAGCAAGCTTGGTGAAAAGAAAAGACAATGCTTGTGCTCCCTCCTCTCTATTCCCCTCATCCGTTTACCAACCCCCCCCCCCCCCCCCCCCCCCCCCCCCCCCTCCCTCCTCATTCCCTTGCGCCCCCTGACCTCCTCCGCACTCTCCTTGCCCACTCGCGTACCTCACCGCACCTCAGCACACACCAACCACTTCCGCACGGCTTTCATCCATGCTGCCTCCTCCTTTGCGCCTATTGCCACATTCGCTAGAGTCACATTCACTATAGTCACGTTCACCATAGGCACATCTCCTGTTGCCACCTCCGCAAATGTCACCCCTGCTGTGTCGCCGCCCTCCCCTTGTGTCTTCTGCGCAGCCCGCTCCTGCCATGCCACGTCAGCATCTGGAACCCGGATGTGCAATCCGACGGTCACCAGAGGTCCGGCATCCGAACCTGGTGCCAAGCCTGCCACCAGCTGCTGCTGCATCGCCTGCACTCGTGCCCATACCTCCGGGTTTGGTCTGGAATGCAACAGGCGGACTTGATTAAATAAAGGAGGCTGAAAAGTGGTTCGGGCTGAATGCTGAGGCAGAAAGAAAGAAGCAAACTGGAACAGCAACCGTCTTTTGAGGCGCCTCAAAAGAAAGAAGCAAACTGGAACAGCAACCGAATGTGACACCTCAGCAGCACTCCAGCTAATGCCACCTCACCACTGCATTATCCTCTCCCCCATTTGTCTCACCACTTATATCACAAAAGGAATGGAGAAGAAAAAAAAAAAATCCAAACTTGAATGCATGCATGTGGTAACCGCAAGCCCATCGACAAAACACTCGCCGTTGCTTACTTGAACAGGAACCTTAGAATGCAGCCGAATGCATAGGGTAACCGCAAGCCCATGTTGTGTAACCGCCTCACCCTGCCAGCCCTCCACGGCCCTGCCAGCATCCTCGTCAGCATGCCCCGATTCCACCTCACCCGCACATTCACTGCGTTCCGAGACAAGCCGCCCGCCTTGCCACCCTTCATGCCACCCCCTTTGCCGTCCAGAAAGAACCAATCCGGGTTCACGTTCCGATTTAGCAGATCCAGCAGTAGCACCTCCCCCGGTTGAACCTCCCCCTGCCACTCCTCCCAGTGCTTCTTGTCCGATAGCTTATCGCGAGGGATGGCGCGGGCGGGGGAGAGGGGGACATCAGGGGAGAGGGTCCAATCCACGAGGGCGGGTTGGAAGGCCCACGGCAGGCATGCGTGGCGGATAAGGAAGGCCCGACCGTCCAATAGCGCGACGGCGAATGACGTGGCGAGGCCCACGAGTGAGTCACCGAGGCCCCCGCATTGGTCGAGCCAATCGTAGGTGAGGAAACGGAGGGGAGGGGGGCCGGTGGGGGACGTAGAGGAGGAGTTGGTGGAGGGTAGTGGGGCTGACAGCGGTGCTGCTGCTGCTGGTGCTGGTGTATCTTCTCTTCCTCCTGCTTCTCCTGCTTCTCCTGTCACTCCTGCATCTGCACCGTCAGCAGTGTGTGAAGCGGCGGTGCTGGCGGCATATTGAGCAACGCTGGCAGCGCGGATGCGGGAGTGAAGAGCGGCGTAATCGGAGTGCCAGGAGCCGCAGAGGTGCGCGGGGAAGGAGGGGTCCAGCAGGGGGAGCAGCGCGGTGGGGGGGATGGACGCCGCGCACTGCAGGCGGTAGAGGGGGGAGGAGAGGGAGAAGAAAGGGGAGAGGAGGGGGAGACGAAGGATTGTAAGGGGGAGAGTGAGGAGATAAGGAAAGGCGCCGCAGAGGTGCACGGGAAGGCGGGGTCCAGCAAGGGGAGCAGCGCCGTTGGCGGGATAGGCGCGGCGCACTGCAGGCGGTTGGGGGAAGAGGAGGGGAGAGAAGAAAAGGGAGGGAGGAGGGGTCGGAGAGAAAGGAATGTATATGGCGGAAGTGAGCGCACGGGACTGAGCGCACTCGTTCGTGAGCACCTGGTAATTCATCCTCATCAGCATCAGCATCAGCATCAGCATCAGCATCAGCATCAGCATCATCATCAGCATCAGCGTCAGCATCAGCATCAGCATCAGCGTCAGCATGACGACGCCAAGGAGCAATTGCCACCGTGAATCGCGACGCGGATGTCGCCACGTGGCAGCGCCTAAACCTGCTGGAGGTTAAAGAGCAGCACAGAAAGACACTCTTCCTCGCGGCTTTTGAGAGGACACTTTTGAGGCGCCTCAAGAGAGGGCACTCTCAAGACTCGCGAGCAGCACACAGAGGCACTCGTTCACGGCACCTGCGGGTTCATCCCCATCAGCAGCAGCATCGCGACGCCGAGGAGCCATCGCCTCCGTGATTGTCGCCGCGAATGCCGCCAGGCTCCGCACCGCGCTCGCAGCAGTAGCCGCATCGCATTCCGACGAATCGCAGGCGCGTTTTGGACTGAGTCGAGTGACGCTACACTGGGAGGGTTCAACGTTTGGATTGCTTACTCTGCCTGCTCGAAAGAGCGGCTGGATTGGACTGCTTGCCAGACAACGATCGAGAAAACATGGATTGTATGGAACAATTGATCGGAAGACGAACGATTAGAGACTGACTGAAGGTAGGTTCGAAAGCATAGAAGGTAGCAGCGAATGAAATGCGGGAGTGGAGTGGATTGGAAAGACGAAGGTGCGTGAAATGCGGGGAGTCGAGTGGATGAGAGATGGTGCTTGGGAGTTTGTACCCCCTGTTGAGAAATCCGGGACACGTTTTGTCAGGTACAAGGCGAACAGTATATTTGTTTTTTGTTAGATGCTGATTAATGCACATCTTCACCGTGCCACGTGCCTCGCTGCATTTACACGGTCATTCGGCCACGTGACAGCAGGTGGCATCTGCGTCAATCCATCGCATGCGTAGCATCTGTTGACGTGGTATACCTCGGCAGTGTGACACCATCGCATTTCCTCCCTCCAACTAGCACATTCAAATTCCAGCTCCCCTCCAGCAGAACCGAAATTCGGTGGTTATCAAACTCGTATTTAGAACCAGAAAGAGTGTGGAGGTCCGAGCGTTTGTGTTCAACCAGACCAGAAGCACAGCTGGTCCCTGTAGTTTCTCGGCCTTCGCGAATCGGCTTCATAGCAGCCCTTCTTGCTTCTCTCTTCTCGTTGACAGTTTTTTTTTGGCTACAGACGGTCGCATTTACCACCATAGCCCAGTAGCTCTCCAAGAGACTCACGAATGTATGCGCACTCAGCTTGTAACGCGCACTTCCTTTCAGTTCCTTGGACTGACTCCCCCAACGCGAATAATCTCCTCCCATAGGCTCCCTCTCGCTCGCGACCGCTTCATTCGTCACCAACTCTTCACCCTTGGATCGGACGGCACCAGGAATTGCTCGCTAGGGTCGGGCGTTCCGACCAGCTCGAGCCGCCAGGAATTATTTTCGCTATTGTCACACTCCGGCACCATGGCGAGTCTGCTCGAGCGGACGGAGATCGGCGCGCTTGTATCGGAGAAGAGGGAGATTATATCGGTGCCTGACACCGCCACCGTGCTGGACGCTCTCGAGGTAACGAGGACATGCCGCGGTGGATTGCAACGGACGTGCTTATAAGGAAGGGATTGTATGCATTTAATGGTTCATGCTACACTCACCGGTGTTCCCTCTTGCTTACCCCTCCCCCGCGTCCCTCCCCCCTGCATGTCTTTTCCTTGCACCACTCTCCCCGTCCCTATCACCGTTTCCTCCGCCCGCCCATCTCCCCATGCCTCTCTTCCCTCCCCCCCTTCCCCTTCCGCTTTCTCCCTCTCTCCTCTTTCTCCCTCTCTCCTCTTTCTCCCTCTCTCCTCTTTCTCCCTCTCTCCTCTTTCTCCCTCTCTCCTCTTTCTCCCACCTCTTTCCGCTTTCTCCCTCTCTCCTCTTTCTCCCACCTCTTTCCGCTTTCTCCCTCTCTCCTCTTTCTCCCACCTCTTTCCGCTTTCCACCTCTCTCCTCTCCCACCCCCAGCTGATGAACGCGAACGGCATAGTGGCGCTGCCAGTGGCGGCACCGCCGGGGAAGTGGCTGGGGGCGGGCGGGGCGAACATCGTGGACGGGGAGAAGCAGTACATTGTGAGCTTATGACGAGTCGCTGTGAGCTGGTACCGCCGTGAGCTGGTAACAACAAATTATGACGATTTACATATGGGGTCTATTGTTGTAGCAGTGTGAGCTGCTAACGGTGTGAGCTGTTAGCAACTTATAATGAGTCACAGTGTTTGTTGTATATTGTTGTAACGATGTGAGTTGAGAGCATTGTGAGCTGGTAAGAGCAGCTTGTAACACATCCTTTGTACAGTTTCTAGTGCGCAGCAGTTGTGACCCGGTAGAATCTGGCAAAATGTACACAGTAACAGGACTGTTGTAACCACTGATGTATTCTGTTGGGTGTACGGGTGAGCTGTGCTACAGTGCTTTCCTTTCTTCCCCCCGTTCCGCCCGCTGTGATGGCACGGCAGATCAGCAATGCGTAGCGAGGGGACGAGAGAGAGAAACATTGTCCTCTTTAATGCCCTCCTCGCTGCCTCCCTCCTCGCTGCCTCCCTCCTCGCTGCCTCCCTCCTCGCTGCCTCCCTCCTCGCTGCCTCCCTCCTCGCTGCCTCCCTCCTCCCCTTCCCTGTCACTCCTCCCCTCCCTACCAACGCGCGTCCCCTCCTTCAACTTTCCATCAAGGCGTGGTGAGCATGGCGGGCGTGGCAATGCACGTGGTGAGGGAGGGCGATACATACTCCCTCTCTCGCCTCCCTTTCTCCCCCTCCTTCCGTCCCCCGCACCAACCTCCCCTCGCTCCTCTTTTTCTTCTTCCTTTCGTCTCCTCTTCCCCTGCTATTTCACCCCATCAGGGGTGAGCACGGCGGACCTGGCAATGCATTTAGTCACACAAGGCGATGCATGCTCCCTCTCTCTCCTCTTCCTCACTTCTCACTCTTTCTTCCTCCACCCTCTCCTTCCTCGCCCCACCCCACCAGGGAGTGGTGAGCATGGCGGACGTGGCAATGCATGTGGTGAGGGAGGCAGCGAGGCCAGCAGCGCTCAAGGCGGGGGTGGTGAGCCTCATCGGCAACTCGCCTGAGGGGCTCTCGCTCTGGGTCGCCTCCACCTCCACGCCGTGAGTTGCGAGTTGTGTGTTGCAAGTCTCATCCCTCCACCTTGCTGCCTCTCGTTTCCCCTCATTCGCTCACCCTCATCGGCATCTCGCCTGAGAGTTACCCGCTCTGGGACGCACTCCAGCTTCGCCGCGTGACTTGAGAGTTGCAACGCTCATAGCTGCGCCTTGTTGGCCCTCGCAGTTTGCCACTAGGGAGATAATATCTGTGATGATGAACCCGAGAGTGCAGGCTTAGGATGCTAACAAAAGCCCTCCCTTTCCATTTCTCCCTTCGGCACCCTCACCTCCCCACCTACCTCTTCCCTTCTTCCCTTGTCAGCTTAGTGGACGCCATGGAGCCGCTAAGCAAGGGCATTCACCGGCTGCTCGTGCGCTGCCCCATCGCCCCCCCTGCTGCCCCATCTCCTGCCTATGCTGCTCCGACTGCCATGACCTTTGGCCACGCCACCCCTGAGGCACCTGAGACTCAGGGATCGCCAGCAGCAGAAGGTGGAGCAGAAGCAGCAGACGCAACAGGAGGAGAAGCAGCGGCGGCAGAAGGAGAAGCAGGAACAACAGAGGAAGCATCAGATGCGGCTAGGCCGGCCACAGGAGCAGAATCAGAAGCAGCAGCACCACCCCCGGCTCTCAAGCACTCCTACCACTTTGTCTCCCAGACTGACGTGGCAGCCTTCCTGCTGCTCCACGTGGACGCGCTGGGTGACGTGGCACAGCGCACTGTGGAGCAGCTAGGCCTCGCGGACCCGCTCTTCCCGCCCCTCGCTATAGTGTCGGGCATTACAGTCACTGCCGCGCTCAGGCTCATGCAGCGCGCTGGTGGCGTGAGAGCGGTGGCTGTGGTGGCGGGGAGTGCGGAGGAGGAGGAGCGGATGGAGGAGGGCGAGGGGTCTGGTGCTGCATCTGCTGCTGGTGCTGACGTGGCAGGAGGAAGGGGAGGAGGAGGGGGTGGGGCAGGGAGGGGGAGGGAGCGGGGAGAAGCAGGGTGGGTGAGGGGTGGCCGGCTGCTGGGGACTCTGTCAGTGTCGGATCTAAGAGGCATGGACGCGGAGACTTTAGCTCAGCTCACATCCATGAAGGTGAGGGCTGATCCAACCTCCTGTGTGCAGAGCAGGTGTGTGTATGAGGGGGGTGGGGAGCAATTGCTGGGGACTCTGTCAGTGTCGGATCTGAGAGGCATGGATGCAGAGACTCTAGCTCAGCTTACTTCCATGAAGGTGAGGGTTGCTTCACGCACGTGCACTGCTGACACATGAATGCTTGAATGCCGTGCATGTAGGCATACCTCACATCACACCACCTGTTGAGGCGCCTCAGAAGATGAGCATGTGCTACGAACCTGCGCGTCTGACACATGTGTGCTTGAATGCTTCAATGACGTGCATGTATCCCCGCTCCCTGATACAGGTGCGGGACTTCCTCGCTCACATGGCGTCGCTCTCCCCCGAGGGTCGGCGCCCGTCCATCACGTGCCGCATGGCGGCGCCCCTGGCGGAGGTCATGGCTCTCGCAGCCACCAACCGCGTGCACCGCGTGTGGGTCACGGGGGAGGACGACGAGCTGCTGGGGGTGGTGTCACTCACTGACGTTATCTCGGCTTGCAGACGGGCAGGTGGACACCGGTAGGGCGGGGCCATTAGTGAGTGGTTGGAGGAGAGGGCATGAGTGGTGGTGATGGTGCTGGCAGTGACTAACCGCATGCACCTCATATGGGTCATCAACGAGTTGTTGGGAGTGAGACTCCCTCACACTTTACGGTACCATCACTGCTTGCAGACGGGCGGGTGGAGTGGTAGATCGGCCCGTAGGAGGGTGGAGGGACCAGGAGGGTTCCAATCCAAGTCGTTCATTTGCTGCCAGTGTACCAGTACTGGATGCAGAGATGTCTGCATAGCGTGGGTAGAGCACAGTTTTTTCAAACTGTATGTGCTTCGCTTGTTTACTTGATGTCGACATGAAGCACAGTCTACGGTAACTTAAGGACTTCAGTATCTTCAAACACTGTTGGGGAAAAATCGATGATGATAAAAAGACAGAAGGCATCAAACAGGCAACACTAGAGTTGTGATGTACCTACTACCTACAACAGAATTACCAACCAACTGCAAGGCCGTGTGGGATACTATGTACGGTACCAGCAGAGACTTGATGACACCCTTTCACCGTTGAAACGCCAGTCTTGATCAAACAGGAACCCGAAGTTCTTTTACCATAATGCTTTCACAAGAGATGATGCCACCATGCACTCGAGCCATCGCACACGTCATGTCTCGAAGTGCGCCTTGACGGTTATCCATCTCAGCGCAGATAGCAGCAACAGCATGAGCAGCAGCAGATGTGGTAGGTCATCCGGTCCGAACGCTGTGAGTGCTGTGATGTGAGTGCTGCAGAGCAGATGATAAATGTTGTGACGTGCTCAAAGCTGCAGCATGCGCATCCCTTGCTGGGAACAGGGAGCTATAGTACGATTGCAGGAAGGGAAAGGGAGTCAGTAGCACTATTGGCAGCAGGATGAGTTCCACCCGCAACAGTAGCACGAGTTGCAGCAGCAGCAGCAGCAGCACGAGATGCAGAGGCAGCACGAGTTGCAGCGGCAGCACGATTTGAACGGGCAGCAGTAGCACGAGCAGCAGCAACCATTGTAGCACGGGTGACATGGGCAGCAGTAGCACTAGGTTCAGCAGCAACAGCAGCACGCGTCGGAGCAGCAACAGTAGCACGAGCTGCGCAGGAAGCAGGAGCGCGAGCAGAACTTGCAGCAGCAGCAGTACGATTTGCACGGGCAGCAGTAGCACAAGCAGCAGCAACAGAAGTACCACGGCTTGCAGCAGCAGCAGTAGCACGTGTTGTAACTGCAGGAGCGGCACGAGTTGCAGTACCAGCAGCAGCAGCACGAGTTGCACGAGCAGCAGCAGCAGCAGCAGGAGGAGGAGCACGAGTTGCACCCGCAGCAATAGCACGAGTTGCACGAGGCCCAGTAGCAGCAGCAGTATACCGAGTTGCACCGGCACGAGCAACACAGGTGGCAGCAGCAGCAGCAGCAGTAGTAGGTGCAGCAAGAGGAGCAGGAGCAGCAGCAGCAGCAGGAGCAGGAGGAGCAGAAACAAGAACAGCACCAGGAGCAGCAAGAGGAGCGACACTTTCTGCAGCTGGGGGTCCATCCATGAGTGGTCTGTCCTGACGGTTCTGGCTCCAGATATAGGATTCAAAAGGGATGATGCAGTACAGAGGCGGACATCAGAAGGAAAAGTAGAAAGCACACCCCCAGAACAACTAGCAGTAAAAGTGCTCAATATACAGCATCATGGTGTTCATACAGCAACAGGGTGATACCATTGCAGAAGAGTACAACATTAAGAATGAGTGTTGATCCTAAATTGCAACATCATACTTGGCTCCCACAGAGCATATCAACTCCACATAAATGGCAGACAACACATAACAATGAGCAACACGTCACAACAAACCATGCAGGCAGCCAAGGAGTGTAAGGGATCACCTCAAAGACGATCCACAACAATGGATCTGACCATGCTGAGGGGAGCATTTGCATGACTCACCAGCTCTTGTTGATGATTCTGTCCCACCTCCAACCACACCTCAGTATCTGACTCATCCGAACCGAGATCATCAATAGGTAATGGGCTGGTGCCAACTCTCCTCTTTATTCCGTGAATGTGGCCCTATAAGGGCAAGTATAGCAACGAGGAAACAATGTTATTGCAATGAGGCAAAACGAATCAAGAATCCACAGAGTAGAAAATGAATGGTCAAGCAAGTATTTGAGTATGTGCGTGCATATGTGTGTGTGAGCGCGCGCGTGTGTGTGCGTGCGTGTGCGTGTGTGTGTGCGTGAATGTGTGTGTGTTTGTGTGTGTCTGTGTGTGTGCGTGCCTGTGTGTGCATGTGTGCTTGCGTGCACGTGAGTGTGTATGTCTGTGTGTGAGAGAGATAGAACAGGGAAGGGGAAAAGAGGAGAAAGGAGGGGGAAAGAGGATTGCAGTTGTCTGCACCTTGGTGCAGTAGTACTCAACAAACGCAGGAAGCCTGAAAGCAGTCCTGATGTCATGATTCAGATACAAGATCGACCTTAAATGCGAGTAGTCATCTCGACAGAGTTTGACAACCTGCCCAAAAAAAGAAATTCAGTGAGATTCGCTTCGCTGAAAAGGAGAACGGACGGTCATAACAGGTGATTTAGTGAAAGCACCCCTCGCTAATCACAGCTGATAGAAAGTTGGATTTGATGCTAAGGAAGCTTTGTTTAAACTCACTTGAGATTCGCAAAACGGACAAACTTCGCCTTGTATGAAGCAGTTGGCAGAAAAAGTAAACATCCTGTTAGGAAGTCAAGTAAGAAAAGCCGAACGTATTACAGGTGGTGGGACATAAAATTGGTAGTATTCATATCAGATCCAGGATATAGAGGGTGCTGCCATGCACGGGCTCCTATCCACTCTAGGGCTCGAATCTGCATCTTGATCCAAACACCAAAAGCTCCCTCGAGACACCATCACGTCGTTGAAGGCGATAACGGGAGTAAATAGAGCTTACCCTGAGCTTTGGAGATCAAACGAAAAACCTTTCAAGATGCTGACCCACACATCATTGCACACTCCCTCGGTTTTCCGCCGCATGCAAGTATATGAAAACGCAATGAGGGAACCATTGGTCTGGGTTAGCTTCAAGGCAGGAGAGTGCAGGTGGGGTCCACCAAAAGCGTGTCCTTCCGCATCAGAAACGGCTTGCCAATCAGAAACGAAAATGTCGTCACAGCCGTTGGCGTCGTCCCTCCATTGTCTAGATTCCCTCCCTCGCAACGCGGCACGCCGTACACCGGGGCACCAATTCAACCACTTTCCAAACGCCTTAATGTCGTCGTTTTCCATATCGTTCACCATTCGCTGAAAACTCTCAAGATCGGACGAGTCAGCTGTACCCTCGATATCGACTCTTCTAGCCAGCTGGTCACAGCAGTGCCAATACCACAGCTGCGTGTCCGCCATACGTCTGAACTTGTTTGAGAGACTTGCGAGTCGAGCAATGAGTGGTCCCGTCGGTTGAGCACGATCGAGAATGATGTAAACGAGTTCAGCGGGAAGAAGTTCCATGGTGCTCGAATGTATCTAACAAACAGGTTCTGGGCCAAGGGGGAACGAAAGGCTGCTGAAGATGAACGGAAAAGGCTAAGGCTAAAGTGGAGGAGAGTGTCCTGCTGCCAAAGATGAGAGCAGTCGAGGGAACCTGTGCCTGACAGGGAATTCTACAGGGCATTGTCCCCATCGCCCCGGGAGGTACCGTAGCTCCGACAATACCTAGGTGGTGGTCGTCTAGAAGTGCGAACAGGATGGCGTTTCCTTGGACCATTGAAACCATCGATGTGCGAGCTGTGACCTCGATGCTCTACTCAGGAAAAGCTAATATCGATGCTGGAGCCAAGGAGAACAACCGTATCTCGATATTTGAATCAGCTACTGTACATCAGCTACATCAGTTCGCGAAGTCCAGCAGGAAAACCGTGTCTTGGATTGTGCAGTGAAGTGTGTGAGCTTGGGAACACCTCTCGCAGTATTAGCGAAGGCAGCCCCTTGCTGGGAACTCGAGGCACGAGAGTTTGAGCGAAATGGTTGGCGAAAAACATGACGAACAGGGGATTTCGGTTTTGGTCTGAAAGTAACTCGTTATACACGTAGTCATTGTTCTTACAGTTCCATTTGCTAAAAGATTGGGGGATCACCATGGTATAATCCCACATTGTATGTCTTGGGTGAGGCTTGAAGCCCAGTCCCTTCTCGGCGTTCGCGAGTCCGCTTCTTTGCAGACAGGCCTTCGCTTCTCTCTTCTCATTCGCATGTTTTTTTCCGGTTCTAAACGTTCGCCGCATCTCACTACCGTAATAACCCGATAACGCCTGAAGTCAAGCGTATGCGTGCGCGCTTCCTTTCACAGTCCGCTGAATTGCCCAAGCGTGTGATTTCTCATTTCATAGGCCCCTCTCGCTCGTTACCGTTTTATTCGCCGCTTCATTCATCACCATCGCTTTGTCGATAGTTCTGACGACACCTGGAGTGGCTTAAAAGCATTAAACGTTTCGGTCAGTTCGAATCGCCAGGATGCCTTTTCCTTATTGTCACACTCCGGTGCCATGGCTGCTCGAGCGAACGGAAATCGGCGCGCATGTATTGAAAAAGGGCAATTCACTGCCTGTCGTGCGCTGCCCCATTGCCAACACTGCTACCCCCTCGCCCTCCGCTGCTGCTCCTACTGCCATGACCTTCGGCCACACCACCCCTGAGGCACCAGAGACAGAGGAAACACCTGCAGAAGGAGCAGCAGCAGCGGCAGGAGGAGAAGCAGGAACAGCCGCAGCGGCGGCAGGAGGAGAAGCAGGAACAGCCGCAGCGGCGGCAGCAGGAGAAGCAGGAACAGCCGCAGCGGTGGCAGGAGGAGAAGCAGGAACAGCCGCAGCGGCGGCAGGAGGAGAAGCAGGAACAGCCGCAGCGGCGGCAGGAGGAGAAGCAGGAACAGCCGCAGCGGCGGCAGGAGGATGTTAGAAAGAAGAAGTGGTTTGACTAGAAACAAGTGAGAGTACAAATGCCTAACCCTAGAATTGTGTACCCTCTAAA